AACTTTATTTGTTTCCACCAAGTACGTAGAAAAGGGAAAAGGAGTGGGAAAGGGATATTTGCAAAGTTATGGTTGACATTTCATGGCACATCTACTCTGCTTTTACTGAGCTTTCTGATATAACAGTGTCCTGCTTTCATCTGGTACAGTGCTGTGTTTTGGCTTTTGTCTGAGAATAATGCTGATAACACAGAGATGTTTTAGTTGTTGCTCAGAAATCCTTACCCTGATCAAGGGCTGTTCAGTCATGCTTTGCCGTTGAGGAGAGGCACAAGAAGCCAGGAGGGAACAGAGGCAGGATAGCTCATCGGAACTAGCCAAAGAGGTATTCCATACCACAGCACATCATGCCCTGTATATAAACTGTGGGGAGCTACCCAGAGAGGACTGATAACTGCTGAGGGGCAGGCTGGGTATCATTCAGTGGGTGATGAGCAATGGTATTGAGCATCACTTGTCTTTCTTGGGGTTTAATCATCTCTCTCTTTTTGTTGTTTCTATTTTCATCTTCATTATTGTAGTTGTCGTTGTTTTGTTGTTATTGTTATTATTATATTTAATTTCAATTAACTGTTCTTCAGCCATGGGTTTTACCTTTACCAGTTCTCCTCCCCATCCCACCAGGTGTGGGGATATGTGAGTGAGCAGATGCGTGGTCCTTAGTTGCTGGCTGGGGTTAAACGATGACCAAGTCAGTAGGTTGTGGTAGGCAATACATCATCATGAGTCCAGAAGCAGTATGGCTGTGCTCATGCACAGTGAATGCAAATGCAGATCCAAACTGGTTTATGGGCAGCTAACCCAAATGTCTACAAGTGTCTCATGCCTAAGTTCCCGCTCGTGGAAGAAATGAATGTTGCGAGATAGAAGGTCTCAGTACATGGCAGTTCTCAAGGAGTGCTGGTGGCTATATGAATAGTCATGGTGGCCATATCTGCATAGTCAGATCTTGAGAGCTGAGGTTTATTAGCTCTGTGCTGTTGAGAGCAGGGACAGAGCATGAATGTGACTTTTCTGCTGATCAGGAAGACCTACTCACTCCACATTTAACTGCACACTGACACATAAATTCATGCTGCGCATCCATGAAGTGGTTCATTAAAAACATTTCATACTCACGTGGGTTTGCCCTTGTGATTTTTCTTAAATTAATTCTCCTCCAAATCACACTGAATCGTCTTTAACATCTGAAGCAAGGTGGGAAAAGGGAGTCACTATAGCCTGAGAGAGTTCTTTCAGACACAAGATGTTAAACTGCTTTTTGATCAGCTGCTTGTAGAAATGTACATTAAACTGTAAACCATGGCTCTTCTTGTAACCAGCTAATGATCCTATCAGTTGCAGGCTAATTGCCTTTACCTTGTTTTAAATTCTGCTCCATTGAAAAAACCAAAGTCACATTCTGATCCTGTTAATCACATTCAGCTTTGAAGAGTATGTAGTGGTTGTGTGTTAATTCAACTTCTCTCCCTGGTAATTTGTTTGATTGGCTGTTACTTGCAGTCTATATTAACTGAATAAATGTGTTCTGTGTTCTGATGGGAAGTTATGAGTTTCTTGTCAGCTATTTCAATGCAGATGTTTTGCCTAGAAATTAGTGTAAATTCTTCTCACCTTCATGTTCTCAAGTACTTTCAGTAGGAAGAATGAAAAGGAAGGGTGTTAACCCTTTGTTGAAGGTAATAAAGCAACAAAGGGAAAGCTCTATATTGCTAGATTAAGCAATTTTTATGGCCTGAAGGCTTCTGATCAGCTTATGAATGAATAAGTAAATAAGATACTAAAGTATGAGAGGGGGATGCTGGTGCTGTACCCTTTTACTCTTTTTCATCTCCAGCAATACATATTGTTTCTGTTGTCAAGACCTAGAACAGAATCTGTTTACTCATCACAGTATCACAGTATCACACAGTATCACAGTATGCTAGAGATTGGAAGGGACCTCGAAAGATCACCTAGTCCAATCCCCCTGCCGGAGCAGGAACACCAGATAATGTTACACAGGAATGTGTCCAGGCGGGTTTTGAATGTCTCCAGGGAAGGAGACTCCACAACCTCCCTGGGCAGCCTGTTCCAGTGTTCCGTCACCCTCACTGAGAAGAAGTTTCTTCTCAAGTTTAAGTGGAACCTCTTGTGTTCCAGTTTGTACCCATTACCCCTTGTCCTATCATTGTTTGCCACTGAGTAGAGCCTGGCTCCATCCTCATGACACTCCCCCTTTATATATTTATAGACACTAATAAGGTCACCCCTCAGTCTCCTCTTCTCTAAACTATAGAGACCCAGCTCCCTCAGTCTTTCCTCATAAGGGAGATGCTCCACTCCCTTAATCATCTTTGTTGCCCTTCGCTGGACTCTCTCCAGCAGCTCCCTGTCCTTCTTGAACTGAGGGGCCCAGAACTGGACACAATATTCCAGATGGGGTCATTCCTCTTTTTTTCTTTTCTTTAATATAATGCACACAAACGCACCCCCATATTCTACATAGTGCTATGTGAGTCTTTCAGAAAAAGACTGAACATATGCCAAATTACCTTTCAGCTTCCCACATCATTTTTCTGAACAAGAGTATAAGACCACTGGATATGTCCTATAAACACAAAACAGGTGCTTATAGGATAAATATAAAATAAACATGTTACTAGGACATTTTTATTAACATTGGATCTATGTGATAATAAAGATTCATTGTGATTTTTACCTTTGAAATCCCCTGACTTAATGAGATTTTTTTTCTCCGTGTTCTGAATTTCAATGAGGAATACTTTTGAGTGTCATGGCCATGTAAAATATTTGTGAAATCCTTTTAGATTACTTGCAACATTTTAAAAATAAACAACTGATTTTTGGAGGCATTTTTTCAAGTTAACAGGAGAGACATTGACTTTGAATATAAGAATTGTTCTCTGCTAAAAAAGAGGTTACCCTGTAAAATGCTAATGTCAGAATTACTTCTAAAGAGAATCTGAAGTTGACTCTGAAATGTTTAGTTCAAATGCTGCCTGAAAGTGTGGAGCAATTAGTGATTCCTTACCAGATCAGCCTTTTTGAAAAACAGACTATTCATTTAGACTCCAAAATGTTTGGAAGCAAGGTCTGGAGACCTGGTGTTTATTAATTCATGAAAGAAAGACTTACACTAATCAGCAGCTTGCATTTCCCAGAGGCACATTTAGGCTACGGAAGGAAGTCACTTTGCACTCCTTACAGGAGAAAGAAGTCCCTTCAAGCAGTCGATGAGAGCATCCAAATCAGACTGCTGTGCTGAATAATCGTTGATTGAGTCCCACAGTCTCTTTCCATTGACCAAAACTGAAAACAAAAAGAGTTTTGCCTCCCAAGGATACTTCCCTCACACATCAGGGTGCTGCTCCTAGCAATGCTGCTGCTATCAGATGGCAATAAATCAGTTCATTATGGTAGAACCAATGACATCTTCCACTTACTGTCACAGTGTCGCAGTATTAAAGCTTTAGTAAAAAGTATTATAATCCTTTTCTTAAAGGGATTTGCTGCTCATTATTTGCCATCTGTCTTCAAATGTTGGGGGAGGGCTCTCTGTATCCCTTGGCTGACTGCACTAAGAATTCATTTTCCCTCTTCCTATAAATGTACGCTTACAATTTTCTGTTTTCTTTTTTATACAATCCAAACTGTAGTGTCTGTCTTTCTAAGGCACTGTCTTGGACTAGCTGACTTCTTATACTTGCGTATTTTTCATTCTCTTCTCATGACTAACTTTTTATGCTTTGTATCACATCTGTTCTTCTGTCTTGACCCATATTTCAGTCAAAATCTAGTTTGCTCAGGTGGCCTCAGCTTTGCAACACTGGATCTTCAGCATTTGATAAGTGAGAGAGTCTATATTTCTTCACCTTCTCCTTTCAATTTCTTGCAGTAAAAACATCACTGATCTTCTCATGGAGTTCAGCACTCCCGTCATTTTACTGTAATATTTTTACTATTAGTTTCTCTTGTCTCATTTAACAGACAATATTAAAAATGTCTACTGCTTCACAGCTATTTATTGTTTGAAGTAAATGTACCTTTTTGTCTTCCTTTTTTTTTTTTTTTTCACTGGCTTGGCACATTGCTGGAGAGCACAGGAGCACAGAATGAAACCTCAATTTTACCTTCACATTTCAAGAAAATGTCAATTTTAATAGGGAATTTAGCTCCTCCATTCTTCCTCTAAAAATACATTATTAGGTCAATTTAATTATATTATTGTATTCTGATCATTTTAATCCAACGCATCTGGCCCAAATCTTTTATATTCAGTGTCAGGTTCTGGTTCAAAAGAACTGATCTCAGATGTGCTGACCCACGTGAAAGCCACTTGAAAGGTCAGGTTTTGTTAGGCTTTAAGATTCCTGCCTTGCTTTTTTAAAAGTCTTGTGCTAAGATTATAAAAATAAAAAAGAAAATCAAGAAATGTAAAAGTTAGAGCTTTAGAGGTAGAAAAAGAAATAAAGGCTTGAAGAGAGAAGAAAAGTTCAGCAGGAAAAGAAGTGTGATGTTTTGAATGACTTGGTAAAGCACAGGCTCTGTTATTGCAAAGGAAATGGAAAGGTGCTTGGGGAAGCAGCCTCTGACACACTGTATTCTGATTATTAAGAGCACATGGGAACACTTTTTGGTTGCAGACTATTTGCACTGGAGGCTGCTGTTTTGTTGGGGTAGTGTATGGCACCTCACACCCACACCTCATACCATAGATAATGGTACAAGGTTATCCCTGTTGTGCCATTAGGTGGTATAAACCATTAGTAACAAACAGAAAAGTAATGTAAGTTGACTAGAGCTTGCAGAAGGGCACGATTCCAAAACAGTGCAAAGTCGCCTTTTGGATTCGGTCCTCTTTCACCATGAACTAAGGGGCGTCAAAAAATGTGTGACATGCTGCACCATTTTGCTTTGGTTTGATGTGAGGTCAGACTGCAAACAGAAACTGAAACTAATTACATTCTTCTGGTTTATTTCTGTCTTGTTCTGTTCAGGTTGACCTGCTTGCCCCTACAAAAATCACTGGCATAATTACCCAAGGAGCTAAAGATTTTGGTCACATCCAGTTTGTGGGGTCCTACAAGCTTGCTTACAGTAATGACGGGGAGCACTGGATCGTATACCAAGATGACAAACAAAAGAAGGATAAGGTAAAACAAGTAGAAGATTGATATTTCAGTTGCATTACTGCAGAGGTCTACATCTGTAGTAACGCCAGTGCTGTAAGACTGTAGATTATCGCATGCTGCCTGCTTCATAGGGTTCCAGATGTGTGGAATCAAACAGGTAAAAGTTGAGGTGAATGAAAGAGTCATATAACACAATGACATTCACAGTGCTGTTATATCATAACTATGAATGCAGTGCACCTGATTTTACACTACTAAATATGGGACATAAAATTTTACAGTTCTCCATTTATTGGAATTGCTTCTTTAACTCTAGAGGAGAAGGTATATAAATAACAGTTTATTTGTATATTCAAAAACTGTGTCTCTGTGTATATTTTGATAAGTATGCATTATTTTCTGTAGTTTTCTGTAAAACACATCTTTAGGATACCTCATTACCTAGCCATTTTGGCTTCATTTTTAAGTGGAAATTAATCATTGGGGTTCAAATACCCAACGGAAAGATTATTGTTTTATTACACTATTAAATGAATACAAAACATAAAGAGTTTCTCAACTTTCTTTGCAAATGTTTAATGAGAGGCATAGAGAAAGTATAGGCTTGCTAATTGATTTACCTGCAAGCATTTAACTTTTCTCTTGTCATTTAGGATATTATTCATTTCCTTTAAACCGTATTACACTTTTATACACCTGAATTCATATCATCTCTTAAGAAAGAGATTACAGCATATGCATTGCTTAAGGGAAATATTAAGCAAGCTGACAAAATGTGAATTATTTATTAAATGTCTTAGTGGGATTTTGTCTGATTGAAACAAAAGATACATTAATAAAAATAACAGATGGCTGATATGTCTGATGCTGCATGTCTCAAACATGGTGTTTTTAACAGGGTGATGAATGTTCCCACTTGTCCTTATTTTTCTTAAAGTAAACAAAAATTCTTCAGTAAAATGTCATACCCTCCATATAGGTCAGGTGTTTTTTTTCTTTCTAAGTAATAAGAAAGCTTTTGATATGTATTGATCTGTGTTGTGTGAGTACAGGTAGATCTATTGATGAAGGGTTAGGCAGCTGCATCTCTTAAATTTTGATGATTTTAAGTGATTGATCAAATGTACACCCATTATTTTTAGGGGAAAGTGTTCTAAATTACTAGATTAAATATGTATATAGCTGGATGTGTGTGTCTGCATAGAAGTGTTATGTTTGTAAGATTGTTATCCAAAGATGACGCTGTAAAGTCCCAGTCTTAAAAGCCAAATGGCAGTTTACTGAGGTTTTATCTTGCTCTGAGATTTTTGCCCACCAAACTCTAAAGTACTTTAGATAGGTAAAACAATATCAGTTGCTTTAGCCATCCAACTGAGAAGGTCCTGACACCAGTGGTTATAGATGTGTCTTGTATAGTTGGTTGTCACATAAAAATTGGAAACAACTCACCTTTTGTAGATGTACCATAAATGCATTCAATATAAACGACAGATATTCACTTCAGTACTTTGCACACATCCCATTGTAAGTCCCTGGCATTTAAAAACAGAAGCAAAAGATCTGCTGTGAAATGAATGTTTTCTTCAAGCCAAACTTGTATTAGCAATCTGTTTCATTCAAGTTACTAAAATAGAGAACATGCATTCAAGTCTTTGGTGAGGAACACAGTAGCAGTCACAAGCAGATCTAAAATAAAATGCACTCTGACTTAACAGCACTCTTATAAATGGCAATGGCAAATGTTATAAACAGTCTACACTTGTTTATAACGTTTGCCAAGGCGATTAAATTCTTATCACTTTCATTATCAGCTGGATTGTTAATTGCTATATACATACTCTATGAGAAACAACGGAAAACTCTAACTCATTGTCTTATTAAAACATCTCATATGCCATATTAATTAACAACCCTAAGAATAAAATAGTTGCATATTCTTATGATTCTTTAAAAAATCAAGAGCAGTTAAAAGTAGAATGTGATCAAATACACTTAGCTGGAAATAAGAAGTAACAACTTGTGAATTTAAATGTATACAAAATAAACAAGATACTTAATACAAGGCTAGATCTCAGCCTTTGATAAACATTAGTCCAAACTGTACTATGACACACTTCTGGAAATGTCAAAGTCTTGCAGCAGGATCTGACATTCCAGAAATGCTAGCTGTCTGCCAGTGAACTTGGCAAAACTTTGTAGGAGGTAGGGCTAGAAAGGATCTCGAGACAGCATCTAGACACATTTTTTGTTGCCCTTTGTAGAGACTATGCTCCTCTCTTTCCATCCCCTCTGAGGTATCCTCAGCAGGAAATGAGATCGAACAAGCCCCAGGTCCCATCCTGACACCCTAGGAGTAGGCTCAACAGTTCATTTTCAGAACTAAAGCTTAATTCACTCACCTTTCACCTCATACAATGATCATACCCTGCACCGTTCTCCATCAGATTATTATTTAACGGCTGGTGATGAAAAGTCTACACTCCCATGTTTAAATATCATTAAAAGTGGAAAGATTGCTTGTCGCCATCCCAGCAACACACCTGCCTGTCCTCACAGGCAAAAAGAAGTGTTATCTTAATCTTTTCAGTTTGTTTGTTTGCAGTATGTTAAGCAATTTCTTCTTGAAAAAAGAAAAAAAAACAACAAAACCATTATCTGTTCTTTCAGTCTTTCTTCAAAGTGTATGTTTTCTCAACCTCAGATCAGTCTTCTGTGTTCTTCTTGGATGAGCCCTTCTCCATTATTCTCCATAGTCTACCTGTGACATTGGTTATGACTTCCTAAGGTTTGGCTTGCTACTCATTAAATTGCACCATTGATCTCATTTTGTCAAGACCACTCTGAACTTTGATACTTCCTTTCAAAATGGGAAAAGCTTAGCCACATCTTCACTTCTAACAAGCAAATCTATTTCCATCATCCATTTTATTACTGTGAATACACAAATTGCACTCACCCAGTAAAAGCTTACAGTTTGACACCAAACCCTTCATCACTGCTCCAGCTAGGCGTGTGTTGATCCAGTGTATTCTGGTGGCAGTTGTCCACACTGGATATGTATAGAACTAGAAATACTGGCTACACTCTGGCCTGTGCAGTGGGACAAAAATATATGTGGAAAATAAAACAGCCTAAGAAAAGCCACGATGTATCTTACCCATAGGGAGCAGAATTACAATAGCATCGCTGGTCCTGTCTGATAGTAACAACTTTGCACAGGATCCACAACAATTTCCTTAGCTTAAGTTATGATACAAGATTTGGCCCAAAATTCAAGAACACTGTACAAAAAAAATGTGTTTTCACAGCAAAGTGAAACTTTGTTTCTTCTGTCTGTATCAGGAGATACAGAAGGGAGATGAAACACACACACTGGCAACTATCAACAGCAGCAAGCATAAATTATTCATAATTTACCCTCATTCATTCTATTTATTAACTGAACATCTTGATTTCTTCTGCAAATTATAGAATACCATAGATTCCTTATTTCTTCTGCAGGTGATTTAGTCATCCTATACGCATCCTGTGATCCTTGTGCAGTCATCCAGTAAGTTAGGAGAAGGATTGTTCCAAAAAGTTTAAGGAAAAGGAAGACAGGATAAAAGAAAAATAACTAAAGTCAGAAGAAAATATGCCATTTTGCATTCTGGAAAAGCAAAGATAAAAAGAACGTCTCAGGCACAGAAATTATGGACATATTGAGAGGCTGGTAATAGTGATTTGCAGATGAATATTGTGACTTTATAAAGTTTGATGTAAGAGCTGAAAGCTCTGTTCTGTTTGATGCCTCCATCGCACTATTTAGCAGTTTACAGAGCGAGTCCTAATGTATCAGCCGATCTCAGTGAACTGAAGCTATTCCTGTCTGCCTTTTCATCATTTGTGAAATTACTTCACTGAGGAAAAGATACTGGTATCTTTTGTTCACAAGTGCACTATGTGCAGCCTATATCTTTGATCAATCTGCAACAAAATAGTCATTTCAAACAGAAGGAAATATGGTGCTGTTTTCTTCTTTGCACCATTGCAAATGGAGAAGCTGTTCCAAGAAGAGTGGCTCCTGAAGCTCCTGTTTGGCTTCTGCTATTTTAACTGTTCCAAGAAGAGTGGCTCCTGCAGCTCATGTTTGGCTTCTGCTATTTTAACAGCCGTCATTTGAATTCATATCTGTGCTGAACTTCTATGAATGCAGATGAATAGGCAGGAGGAGGGGAGGGAAATGTGTCTTTTAAATGTCTCTTTCATTTTAAATAGTTTGAATGAGCTGCCTGAAATATATGAAAGCTTTTTCTCTTGCCTTCTAGAACCAAAATAAATTCCATTGCTGACTGTCAAGTAGGAAGGAAGTATATTTTAGAAAAAGGACCAGAGCTAATAGCTATCTTGTTTTTCTCAACTAGAGGTCAGTAGCTCACTACGCCTCTAAAGCTAAGGACATACAAACCAAATCTGACCTTTTTTTTTCTTTTTAATCAGTTTCCACATGTTTTATAAATTGCATGGCCTGCTGTAGGTCAAATGGCATTTTACAGGCCATTTTTAAAAATAAGACGAGAACATTTGGAAGCAGCCTAAAGAATTCCAGCAGTCTGCAGCACTGTCAGTCACTATTAGCCATCAGCAGTGCAATTAATTGTAGATAGATAATGTCCTGTATGCAAATAGACACTGGATTTGTGCACAAAATTATGAACTAGTTGTAAGTTATATGCTTTGCATACATAGTTAATTGCCACAGCAACAGAAGACAGGAACCTACTTAAAAATGAAAGGTTAGATCATATCAGGTTAAAAATATTTCTTCTAGATTTGCTAATGGTTTTTCTGTGCGGTGTTTAATTATTACATTGGCTCGTTTACATTGATAGATTCAGCTCCTGCATATACTCCACATACTTTGCACAGCTAAAGACCTTTCTTTAGCAATGTTATTTAAATTATTATAATTTAATGCTATTACTTAAAATAATATTTGTAATCTGACAGTTTTCTGCACTGGTTTAAATTACAAGTGACTT